CCCCCCCCCCCCTCGGTCAGCCCTGTCTCACGGCAACTTCGCAGCCTTCGGTTTCCTGTTCCACCCCTTATTTCTAGACGGGCAAACGCTGCTACCACTGACGGCAATGTCCACCATCCCCTTCTCTGTACTTGTTATGCTTCCGCGTTTCCGTCAGCTGATCGCTCATACGACACCCTTCCTGACTTTCTCATTCGTTACACCTTGTCGCTTTTTACCACCCCGTCCACGTGCCAAACGTGCAACACGTGAGTGACTTTGAGTGGAAGCCTAAAGAATTTACTTTGATATTCAAATAAACTTGTAGCTATACGTGTGTATATATATATATATATGCATTATCACCAGCTGTCCTAGAAATGGGTTGCTAACTATGACTCTCGTGAACTTATACAAGCATCCTCTCATATACTTCTATAAGTAAACGACAGTGTCACCCCTGATGTAATCCGTCGTTGGGAAAGAATTGTTTCCTCTGAAATTACGTGCCGAGATTAATGGGGATACGACAGTGCGACAGAAATCGAAGCTTCGCTACGAAGATATATTGCGAACCGCTAGAGTCGGTATACCACGCGCTTAGTAATTATCGAGAATACCATTTGCGGATGTGTCTCTCACCGTAACAATGCGAACTAATTGTGTTCTAAAAATCAATCGGTATCAATGAGAAATTGATTCTATAGTTGACTTGCTGTCGTGCGAGAAGTCAGTTTCGGTACGTACTAAATTTGACTCTGGGATAAAATCGACTAGGAAATCACTAGGTATGGCGCGAGTCAAGCTGTACGTATAGCACCAGTAAGTGGGAAGTTCGATTAGAAATTAGAGAACTTGCCAGACGGACAGAGCGGAACTATGCCGCACTAGCAGTTGCAATAGGGCAATTAATTCCGGTGAATTATATTGGTACCTGAAGGTATTTCCCTAGGAGTCGACGTTCAGATAAATCGTATCAGTTCTAAGAAGAATAGATCTAACTAGGGAAAAAGAAAAAAAGACATCCAACTCGACCTTCTTCGTTGTAACTATTCAGGCTTCATACATGAAGTAACATACCTACCCTGTTTAGTAATCTAGCTAAGGGTAGTACCCATACCTACCTATAGGTACCCAGCTGCCTAGCCACCTCTTCTGCGTTGCTCAGAAGGTTGGCCAAACCCTTTCAACCTATGATGGTTAGTAGGTTCTCGAAGTTTGTCAGTTCTGCCAACGGTAAAAAAATAAATTCCAGATTGCTATTTACCGTCCATCGCTGTTGTGAGTTACTCAAAGACCTCCGTCGCCGCGCGCTTATGAATATACGAAAATTAATTCGTTGCATCAATTACGTAACGGGTCGGGCTGACATCTGGTACACAGGCCAAAAAATTTACGCAAAATACGTGCAAGAGCAAATACAAGCGTCTCGTTCGCTTTGAGTTTATTTCGTGGTAAGGCCAACTTGCGCTTAATTTCTATTACTCGTGGAAAATTTCCATCTCGCGTACAGCGACACGCTAAGTGACTCGGAAAGCAGACGGTTAATAAGTTCGAAGCCAGACGCGGGGGCGGGTAGACAGAAAGCCTCCCTGGAAAACTTAGTAATTTTCTTGCGAACGAAAACTGCTACCTCGAATGAAAGAAAAGCTCCGACGGCTCTCAAGACATTGCATCCGCAGAATGGAAAGTTTTCCAGTCTCGCTTCTGTGATTACATTAATTTTATTAGCTTAGTCGGAACTAAGTTCAGACCTATAGTCAGGACTTCCGCCTAAGTTCCTGCACCATGGCTGGGCGCCGGCTTATAGGCGAGTATCACGAGGTAAGCGGTATAAGGCAGAAAGTAGCATCCCTTATTTAACCCTTGGAACAACCACACGAAGACTCAAGATTTCCTTGGAGCTTTGGCTCTTTCTTCATCCCTCTCAACATTTTTCTTGTCTCTCTCTCTCTCTCTCTCTCTCTCTCTTGAGCTGAGCTGTACCTCAGCTTCCGCTGTCATTTCTATCCCTACCACTTCGGCACAGCCCCATGATTCACCCTCCAGTCTCCCCACCCTTCTCTACGACCCCCTTATTACCTGGCTTTTCAATAATTTGTCGCGCACAGTGAATTCTATGTAAATGTCATTAATTTTCTTCGAACCGTATAATGCCGGACTTACCTTGCTCCTTGAACGCTGTACTATCCCTGGAAATACGTATATGTATACACCCTGTTCCAAATTTAACCTGCATCCCCGTGAAACTGGCAAAAGTTTTACGAAGTGGCGTTCGCGCGAAATTGCAACCGTACGTAGGTAGCACGTACACATGTAGATATGTATAAAGGGAACGAGCTCGCGAGAATATCTGGTAATTCCTCGAAACCGAAGAGACGCTTTTCTACGTGCAATTACGGCATTACGCGCGGCGTCCTGGGCTACAAAATTAATTAATGCGGCGTAACTTATTCTCGGATGGACGGGCTTGGTTATTATTTTTTCTCTCTCCTCTCTTTCTTTCTCTCTGCTCGTCTCCCGGCATCCAGCTGCGTCCTTAATTAATAATCTGTAAATCGACGTCATTAACTACGTGGATGCACACGAATGTTGGACCAGCATTTACGACTTAGCCTAGGTGGGTGTTAGGATGTTATACTTGAAACACGCAACGTCAGGCACTATACTTATCATCTCTGACATTGGGAACAGCGAGAGTTTCAAGTAGCCAGAATTTATTCCCCTTGGATGCATATGTATGTATATGTGTATATATAAGCTTAACGAGCCTGGGAACCATTAATTTTGTAGTACGAGCACGGGGGTTAAGCATCTGATTCTGTAAATCTTTGTACATTCGTTTATTATCGTAATGGTATTTTGACACTGGTTACTTTTAAGAAAGATAATATCTAGCCTCTTCATTGTTATCTGTAAGGAGATTTTGGCGTCTCGCCAGTACGGCAGAATTACGCCAGAAGCAACAATTCTGTACAAATGGTCACTGGACTGCCGTCGTTGAGTCGTCTCGACGCGCAATACAGTCTTCTTCTTCTCGGGTTCCCTCGGCGTTTACCATCGTGAAACGACCCACCCTTATCTCCCGTGTCCCAGTTCCCTTTTTTGTCTCTCGTTCGTTACATAAATATAGGTATCTCACTAATACGAATATCGTGCCAGTTCGTTAACGCGATACACACGATGAATCTTGGGCACTGCTCCTTGAGTCTCTGACGGTGCCGTTAAATCGCAGGGTCACGGCCATTTTCATCCCTTCTCATGTTCATCACGTTCTGCTCCACCTTCGTCAACATTCCATCCTTAAAATCACACCTTTCTCTGCCAGACCGCAAAATGAGCATGTTAAAACCACCACACCCAACACTATTATTGTCACTGTTGTTCAATGTAGTCGAACCGGAGCTGCGTGACTCCGAAATTATTTATCTTTTATTGCGACGCGTTATACGCAGGACCGACGCTCTCAGCGTCGACCGTTCTATATCCTTGAACCTGACTTCCTGCGAGAATACACTTTAAAAGATGTTCCGTAACTCTAGCGTTGACAAGAGCCACGCGCTCTGTTAGCTCAGTATCTCTTTGTATCCGGTCACCAAAGTTCAACGGCCGGGGTCAATGTGTGAACTTCGATATTCTCGTGGCGATGATACCGATCCCTTCGACGTATCGTAGCGCGACGTGACAGAACGACCGTCAAAGCTGCAGCAGCACCCAGAGCGGCTCCTGCAAGGACCAACATTCCAGGATGTGCTCCGGACGCAGGTGGCTCCGACACCCTGGCCCCAGAATCCGTTGCCTGTCCGCTCAACTCCTCCGCAAGCGTATTCGAAGACGCATCCGCCAGGACCAAGGACTCCTCCGTCAGATTCCTAGTGGCTGCTTGGTGGCTCGTCTCTTTGGTTCTTTCCGCCGTCAGCGTCCTAGTTGCATTTGATTGAATATTCCTGCTGAAGGTTTTACTGGAATTGCTCGAATTGTGTTTTGCGACAGATACTTTCTTGTTTTTGTATCGTCCACTTTTTATCTTTTTATTCAGCGTCTTTTTAAACGGTGTGTTCATTTGTTTAGCTTTGTAAGTGGAAATGGTAGTCGCGACAGTTTCATTACCTTGCAATGGATATTCTCCACTTGAAATACTTTCATCAGTCGCATCGGTAGTGGAGCTATCCTCTTTACTTCCGGCAGTGTTCCTCTTGACTGAAGTAGTACTTTCCGTGCTAGTGTTCTTGACGTTCAGAGACGCTTGGAAGATGTTGGATACGTTGGCGTATGAAGTATAGAGCATAATAGAAGACTCAGTCGTACGGTTGTCACTTACCGTGGTGTTTACCTGGGAATCCTTGTTCCGATTCTCCATTTTAGATTCCGAAGACTTGATTAAGTAATCCGTGGTAGATGTACCTAGTAGAAGCTCGCCAGTATCATTTGTCAAATCCGGAGCAGTCGTTGAAGAAGTGAAGACGTCCATGTATGAATATGTCGAGAAGTTTTTTTCTCCGTTGTAATCGATCGCGTTGAATAAAGTACCTGAAGTAACTTCGACCTCAGCTTTCGAGTACGGATCCGTGATAGGTGCAATGGTCGTAGTAGATGTTTTCGCGGTAGACAATGGAGTCGGCGGCGCAGGCATCTCGTAGAGTCGATATCCGGTAAGGTTAGCAGGTTCGGCGCAATCAGCAGGTGGATGATACTCCGCGTGCTGTCTTATCCATTCGCCCAACCAGTAGAGATCCTCTGTGCAATTCCATTCGTTACCAGATAATCCAAGGGTGCGTAGTTGAGGTAGAAAATAAAGGAGATCCGATCTGACGGTGGTAACGTTGGTACCGATCATATTCAGGACCAGGAGACTCTTGCATGCCGATAAAGCCGCGTTATCAGCCAATAATTGAGCGGCGAGTACAGGACTGTAGGACACGTCAAGAGTCACCAGTCTCTCGGGGGTGGGTACCGGAAATGCCATGTCCGCCCGTTCCTGCTGGTCCCATTCAAGGGAAGTTAAGCCAGACATACGAAGCGTAGCGAGATTGCTCGGTCCGTTTAGAGTATTAGCAGGCAGCGTCTTGATGGGATTTTCCGAGATATCCAGCTCGACTAGTGCAGGTAGTTGACCCAGTGAACCTTCTTGGATGAGGGTGATGGCATTGTGATTCAGCATCAGGGATCGTAGATTGTAGAGACCTTGAAGATCGTTTGACCTCAGGGTGCCTATTCTATTACCTTCGAGATTGAGAATCGTCAGGCTGCTGGGCAGACTACGTGGCACCTCAGTCAATACATTTCCGGACATATTCAGATCCTCCAGGACCTCCAGTCGACCGAGAGCATCTTCCTCGACGTCGCTCAACCGGTTGTCAGATATGTCCAACATCCTTAGCAATGGATAACTATCCAAATCGCCACTTCTGATCGATGTTAGGAGGTTTCCAGCAAGCCTAAGTGCTCTCACGGATCTCGTGAGAGCTGCGGGAACTCGTGCCAAACCGGTACGCGAAGCATCCACAGTTTCCAATCGTCTTCCTGTTCCCAAAAGCAAAGAGACGTCTCGTTCCCGCAATGGATTCTCAGCCAATCGCAGCACGGACAGTCCTGGCAACGGTTGAAGAGCACCCGACGCTGCTCTGGCCAGACCATTACGCGACACGTCCAATTCACGCAGTCGTCCAAGACTCTCAAACCATCTGGCTCCTAACACCTGCAGCTGGTTCCCACTGAGATCCAACTTCTGTAGAGAATCGAGAGGTGTGAGGGCGCCATCCGGTATCCATGAGAGCCTGTTATCCGCCAGATTCAGATTCTCAAGAAGCGCGAGACCACGAAATGCTGCCTCACTTACGTTCGTTATGACATTTCTTCTCAAACTCAAGTACACTAACGTCGCAAGTGTCCTAAACGCGTTGGCACTGACGTTCCTTAGAAGATTACTTGACACATCGAATGACGTCAACCTACGTAACTTCACCATATTAACTATTTGTACATCGTTCAAGTCCACGAAATTATTGCTGGACAAATTGAGAGCGCGTAGCCCTCCCAGTCCTGTCCACGATACATTAAGATACTCCAAGGAGCAATTCGTAAGGACGAGCTCATCCAGGAGCGGAAGAGCGTGGCTGGCATTTTCGAATTCATCCAGCAAGCTCATCACCTCGTACTCGTCCGCGCTATCTATCTTGAGCGCGCGAGCATCGCCTGGCAATTCCTGGACCTGGGGCGTCTTACCGAGACACGATAGCTCAACAGGACCATGGCTCAACTCGGCACGTTCCGCATGACAAGAGCACTCTTCGGGACACGCAGAACCGCTCGCCATAAAGGCGAGTAGCAGTATCAGGAGCCACATTACTTGGCACTCTCGTCTCTCACATGTCTTCCGCGCTCAAAAGTCTCACGGTCTCATCAACCTGGCTACAGTCATCGGCATCGAACACAGGTACGCAAAACGGCCAACGCAGCCCGGTCCAACCGGGTATAAAAACTTTACGCTTCACGCGCGATTACGAAGGCTCGCCGAGTATCACCCGACCGGACGTGATATCCATACGAAGGACTGGCACATACTGCGGCGCCCGACTCAACTCTGCCTGCTTGTCTACCGCCACCTACAACCTACTCTCTCTCTCTCTCTCTCTCTCTCTCTCTCGCCCTTCGATCCTCCCCATACTCTACCTACAACCTACCACTACCACCACCGTCACCAGCAGCAGCCACCGCGTTTGCTCTCGAACTCGATAAGGGGGTGCGCGCTTGCGTCCTCTGCCACGTCCTCTTGCGAACGAACCTCTGATTCCGGGAGTCGGCTTCACCGACATTGCTGGGTTCCATCGCCATCCCTGTTGGAACTATCAGCTTGGAATAGCAGCCAGCACTGATACTTAGTCTATGACTACCACCTATTACTTCTGGACGAGATCATATTAATCTTTCTTCTTCTTCTCTTTTTCTTTATCTGATCATTGTGGATGCATCGGCCTTAGGACGTTATCGGCCACGAGATTCCTTAACGGACGTCCTTCTCTTTATTGTTAATGAATTCTGCGCGCGTGATGGTTCATTATTTCGATGGTTTTATTGTTGGGATTGCGACCTAGTAGTCCGGAAGTCGTCTGGGTTAAGTCGTTTATAGTCTCTTAATGAACTTGGTTAGCCTCTGTGGGATAATTGGATAAGACAATGCCGCTCATCGGAAGGTATCGAAATAAGAAGTTATTTCATAGCATACAGTTCGTACACTTTATGACGCGAGCGAAATTTACTTCAGAACTTACGACTATTCCAATAGGATTAGGTTTATGACTATAATTATAATAGCTGATTAAAATTCCCTTCCAGGTTTGCTCTGGGTGAAATACGATTACGTTGGATATAGATTAAACTTAGATACAGAAGCTGGGTATTATTTGATGTTTCCTTGCAAGAGGCACTCGCGATATTACTATTATTCATTAATTAATTAGACGTATCACAGCCTACTGAGCCACTCTGCGGGATACGGTAATTATTATACTATAGTATATTATTTTATTACGAATACATACTACTCCAAACTCCTTACTTTGAAGATACCCGATGCGGAATATCTCATCTGGGAAGAAGCTGAGTACTGAGTCAAGGTACTCGTAAAATCGCACCGTATTTCCTGAACCGTACAAGATTTCGTGAAGGAGCATATTTCTCTAGTATCTACGCAATATATCTCGCACTGTTGCCTATTCTTGTTTCTTCTTTTTTTTTTACTCCTTTTGCTCAACTCTCATTGCAATAATATCGGAGAACTATATCAACCCGTTTCTGGCTCCGAGAAGTTCGCATTCATCGTTTCCCCTATCGTGTACTCTCGTTCATCCTCCTTTTCCAATTCAGTTTCTTTCGTTATATTCTTTTTCTCTTTTTACTTCTATTACTTATTTCTTTCTTGATCTCTTTTTATCTTCTTCCATCCAAACCAGTCCTACCAATCGTCGAAGTTAACTCCTTGGGACAACCGCACGGGCTTTTTTCATCCGCTAACCATCCCTTTTTTTTTCGACGGTACGGTACTTCCTCTCAGTCAGGTTCTACGAAATACAGGAAGAGATCAATTTCCTCCATTGTTATCGACAAACATACACTTTGCCAAGCTACTTCGCTCGCTTTTATTTCTCTCTGCGGGGATGTTACCGTTCGTCGGGTAAATTGTATTCCACGGATCTGACGGGGAAATGTAATAACGCAGTTTTGCAGTGTCCTTAAAACGTGTCTGTGGAATATTGTCTAGTGGAGAACAGGGAAAAAGATAGAGAAGGAGACTAAGAGGGAGAAGATAGACTGTGAGCGCGACGTCCGCGTCCTCGACGTCGCGCGTCTGTAGAAAGTGAATAGAAAGGCCAGAGAACGAATCGAATTGTTCTCAGACACTTTGCTCCCGCGAGTTCTGGCATCGATAAAATCAATGTTTTATTTATTTCTTGTCTTTAATTCCTTCTCCCCTTATCCTCCCGGCATGCCTTTATCTACTCGAATCTTGATAAATATTTTAGTAAGACACATCCAGGCACTTCCAACGTGACAATAGGATTTTCCCACGTCATGCCTCATGCCATCCGATAAATTCTCCGTGTTGTGAAATTTTTGCTTACTATAACGCGTGAGCGCTGTGAAATTACAAAGCTCTATCTTCGCACCCTTTAGAAAAAAAAAAAATTCTAAATCCCGCGATAAAATTGTTATTTTTATCACGTTTCGTCACCGAATTCAGTGTTATCCTGCTACGACCCACAACCAATCGCGATTTATCTATCGTTACCATATTTACCCTCCCCAATAGCATTTATCTGCATTTACACTCTATCTATCTTGTACCAATGTGCAACGCCACGTGTCATGAACAAGCTGATAAAGATTACGTTATGCATCGACATTTCCTGTTTTTTATCAAATTCCATTAGCGCTCTCTAATCTACATATACCCACACCCACCCACCTCCTGCATAAGAGCATTTCTTCAGTTACCAAACGACAATCGAATTTTGGGGATTTAGTTTCTGCAAGGTCTTGAAAGATGCACTTGCTCGTGGCTCGTCGAGGTAACTTTGTGGTCTCCGTTATCTTTTCCGCCGACGAAGAGCGATAGAAGAAAAATAAGAAACAAAAAAGACCAAAGTCACAAAAGCATCGGTCGCGCCTATCATAAAACGAGACCTGTATCCTTGCTTTGGCATTTTTACAGCGTTGGCCACCAGAGAGAATAGCTTTACCATTACTTCGTTCGAAATCACCCTGATGACGATGCATCGACCCTATGAACCAGTGGTGTCACCCTTCACATATATATCACCTACCTGTACAATATAGGTATCCATTGCGGAAGTGAGTTTCCTCGTTAACGATACGAATCCCACGCGGCTCCTATCGCGAGGACCGTTAACTATCTATTTTATAAGGTGATTCCTGGAGCTCATCGCACAGGGAATTTCAGGTAAGTCTTCTCTTATGGATATAGTCGGCCAGATGTATGTACGTATATACATATATAGCATACAGGTACGATACTATATATAAGTATGGTATAGCAGACGACGTGAGATTAACTAACGAGTAATTGCGTTGGGCTTCCCTGGAGGGTGAACGAGAGAGACATTATTACGTTAATAAAAAATCAGAAATCTCTCTTTCAAGAGATGACTTATTAAATTGACTTAAATTATGTACATATTTGCATATTCAAAAACCGAGCAGAGCCTATGACTTTTCGTTGTACACTTACGAGTCGTTCTGGGTGTAAAGTTACGTTTACGATGAAGGAACAGACAAATGTAAATGGTGTACTGTGAGCACCGTTCGGTCGTATATAGCTGCGGGAGTGGGTAAGAGATATAACGAAGGGGACTCCGTGCGAGAAAGGGAGATGGAGAGTCTTGGCTCTACCAGAGTTTGTAATTGCAGCGGGCGTAACGCGTCGGCGATGGCCGATGGCACCCGGGACTGGGGTAATGGCCTGCACTGAATGTCTCTTCTTGTATAAGAGCAGGGTTCTGAGGAGATGCTTCTAGAGAGAGAGAGAGAGAGAGAGAGAGAGAGAGAGAGAGAGAGCAGAGAAAGAGATGGGGGTAGAACTTACTCCTACCACGAGCTTGCCTTATTCCCTTTCGCCCACGGCTTCCATCCAGCATTCATTCCTCTTTCCAGTTTCCTCTCGTGCACCTTACTTTACTTCTTTTCCATTCTTTCTACACAGTTGTCTCTTACGCGTACGTCTATCCGTCGTTACTTCTACCAGACTACGTTTTCACTCTCTTTTTATCACGACTGATATGTGTATCTATATATTATGTATATACATGTATATCTATCCAATCAGAGTACCAACCATTGAACACGCAACAAGCGAACGTTCCTCGCTATTCCCCATGTAAATATTTAAATCGGCTGCTGCTCTCGTTGGACGCTGTCAAAATTGTATGCTGTGCGAATTAGAGTCCCGTGTGAAATCGCGAGTGCGAAACTGCTTTGCAAATCGAAATTCGAATTTGATAAGCATTCGATATTTTTAACGTTTGTTATTGTGCGTCGAACGGAGCTGCGTTGACTCGATTGAATCTTTCTTGATGTCGAGAATGTGTCCTCTTTAAGGGTTGTTTTCGACGTTACTCCTGTTACGTTAACAGCTTATTGGACAACAAAGGAAGACGCGGAGAGATCCAAAGTCGTTTAGGTCTTCCTCTCTGCTTCTACTAAACGAATTAACTTGACTCAATTCGCAAGAACAGTCTCGCTCCGGTCTCAGCCGTTCTCTAATTCATCCAGATATTTGCACGTGCAATGGCTCGTAGCGTGTCCTTAATGACTGACGTTTACACTTTAACAGCAGCCATTTAGATTCTAGTAGATAGTGCAGAGTAGATATATAAATATATGTTTATAAGGACGTCTCAGAAAATGCTACCAGCTTCGCTACAGCGGTACTTGTTACTTTTCGAGTGTTAATAACAATTAAGTATGCGGTGGATCTGTGGTTGATCGCTTGGAAGAAATATGACTAGAAGAGTAGATAATAAGACTGTCTTCTAGTATCTAGTATAAATGTACTTCAAGGAAACTATGACGTGAAATGTTTAGGGGTAGTACAGGGAGCGTCATTGTGATTCAGGAGTGAAGATCATTGCCAAGCACCGATCGGTCAGCATCCTCCTTTCAGGGCTGATCTCTACTTTAGTGATAAGGAAAGTATTGACTGGTATATGAAAATATGTATCGACGTGAACTTTAATTTTTCAAGGGTCGACCTTCTATATTGAACTCTTTCATCTCCCCTGCTTCTACCTCTCACTGTCGTTATTCATCATCATCACTTCTTCATCTTGTTTTCATCTCTCATCTAAGGTATATTCTTCCCTGTCCATAGATCTAGATTTTACCTATACCAGATTTTCGTGATATATTAAATAATCACTTTGAGAAAGACAATCCTCGAAAATTTGGTCAAAACGAGCAAATAGATAGTTTTCACCTGAAACTAATACAGAGACACTATTTAAGTGGCATGTAAAAACAAAAGTACAGAAAATTATCGGATAGACTCTCTATC